AAAGATAATCGAATAACAAAAATTTAATCTCCTGTTCATAAACAAATAGATAATTTGTTTTCAACTGAATAATTACACAAAACATTGTTTTTTTATTATTTATGAATACAACCTTTTATGCGTAATCTTAGAAATTATAATTTTTTAACTGTTGTTGATCAAGGGCATATGAGTTTATGAGTCAACCAGGAATAGCACGATTCATTCTAAAAATTTTTTTTGAATTTTAAATTGCAAAATTTGTATATTTTATGCTTTTTTAATAAAGTTATTTTATTGGCTTTATAATGCTAAGCCTTTTTATAAGAAATCAAACGCATGAAGAGTATTTTGCTATGTTTATTATTACAAATAATTATGTTTTTTTAAGCACTGGTCAAAAATAAAAACATTTCCTCCAATTTAATGTCTCAATTTTAATGTTCATACTCGAGAATTTAACTTGTATCATACTTGAGAATCAATGTTCATAATCGAGAATTTATGTTCGTACTCGAGAATACTACCAGAAAAATTCACCGGTAAAATTCTCCGTGTTTCTGGCTCGATAAGAAAAATAAAAAGATTGATAATTTTTACTAAAGTGCTTTGGTAATGAATTTGTAAAATTAACAATAACATATGATTTTATAATATATGATAAAATTTGGTAAATGTGGTAAAATTTGGGAATTTTATCATGATACCTTAAAGTAAGGTATAAAAACCATTTATTTTTTAAAATTTACTTTTCTTTTACATATTTTTTACTGAACTATAATTTTGAAACCAGAATTTCTGTAAATCGTTAACATATGAACTGAAAAATTACCAAATGAATGGTTTAAATTCCATATATTTTGTGCACATTAACCGGAATTAAGTTTTTTTTAAACCAGAAATGTAATTACTATACAGTTTGGTAAAGTTGATAGAGTTTTTTTTTTCTCGATGTTCGTGTTAGATCCAAATCGCTGGAGTTAGTGAATTATCTATAAATGCCAAAATTATGTGTAATTTACCAAAGAAGTCATTGATTATTAATTAATTAATTGTAAACTAGCTGAAATTAACATATTCGGATTTGTAAATTTTAAATTTTCAATTGATTATTTTTTCTGGATGATTTAAAATTCGAACAACATCCTACTTCTAAATAAATTTTTAGTAATAGGACGACCTTTTATAGGGACTTTTCTGACCATTCATTTATACTAACAGGATTGATATACTGAAAACTTCCAGGTCAAATTATGATAAAAATACCAGCAATCAAATGGCTAGTACTTTTTACTGTAAAATCCATTTTTTCCACAAAAGGTTAAAGGATCAAAAAATCTGATGTACCGTAATTTTTACAATACTTACTGCAAAATCAATAATTCACTTTATTTAAATAAATAATACTGTAAGAATTACGGCATAAAATTTTACTGTTGCTGCTCTCAGGATGCCATTACTATTTACTATAATTAAAACAGGAATTTCGTCCACTATGCTAAGAATTTATTTTTCATAGTTTACGCAAACTCTACAAGAAAAAATTTGAATGTCTTACATAAAAATTCTTAAAATCATTAGGCAGCTTTATCTATATATTTAAAATCTTGTACTAGGGTTCCTTAAAAATCAAAGAAACCGAAATTTTTCGTTTAGCTATAGATATTAAATAAAAATATAGCACCAAAAATAGTTAACAACCTTTTGAGATACTGTTAGAACTAGAAATTTGCGTTTCCGGCATAGGTAGTAAAACAACACTCATATTTTATCCTAGTTAACTATTTTAGTAATCACTCTGTAATCGTGAACGACGCTAAATGTGGTGAAATCGTGATATTCTTTTAAACCCATTACTTATTTCTTTAAATATTTATAAAGTTTCTTATTAACTATTGTTAACTAATCAAAAAAAGATAGTTTTGTTGCGACAAATCCGAGCGAAACTAATGTTGTTTCTGAAATACATTACATGAGACTGATATATAGTTTACCTAAACTTAGAAACGTGATTGAAACGTGAAAATCACGGACAGTAGTAAAGGCGCTATGCGTCATTGGTAAAACTGTATCAAAGTTAGAATAACCTGGTAATCTTGTACTAGGTTTCCTTAAAAACTTAGACAAACCAAAATTTTTAATTTTGCTATACTAAATAAAAATATAGCACCAAAATCAGTTAACAATCTTTTAAGATACTGTTAGAACCAGGAATTTGCGTTTCCGGCATAGGTAGTAAAACAGCAATCATATTTTATCCAAGTTAACTACTTTAGTAATCGTTCTGCAATCGAGAACGACGCTAAGTTTGGTAAAATTGCGTAATTCTTTTAAACTTATTATTTATTACTTTATAAAGTTTTCTTATTAGACTTTATAAAGTAATAAATAATGAGTTTAAAAGAATTAGGCAATTTTATAAAACTTAGTGTCGTTCTCGATTGCAGAACGATTACTAAAGTAGTTAATATATTTAACTAATCGAAAAAGGATAGTTCTGTTGCAACAAATCCGAGCGAAATTAATGTTGTTTCCGAAATACAATACATAAGACTGAAATATAGTTTACCTAAACTTAGAAACGTGAAAATCACAGACAGTAGGAAAGGCGCTATGCGTCATTGGTAAAACTGTACCAAAGTTAGAATAACCTGGTAATCTTGTACTAGGTTTCCTTAAAACATTAGAAAAGCCAATATAGCACCAAAATCAGTTAAAAATCTTTTGAGATGTTGTTAGAACCAAGAATTTGCATTTCCGGCATAGGTAGTAAAATAACACTCATATTTATTCTAGTTAACTATTTTAGTAATCGAAAAAAACGTTAATTGCGCTAAAATTGTGTAATTCTTTTAAACTCATTATTTATTACTTTATAAAGTTTTCTATGTAGTAAATATATTAACTAATCAAAAAAGGATAGTTTTGTTGCAACAAATCCGAGCGAAATTAATGTTGTTTCCGAAATACGTTGCATAAGACAGAAATATAGTTTACCTAAACTTAGAAACGTAATTGAAACGTGAAAATCACGGTCAGTAGTAAAAGCGTTCTGCTTCCGTTGGTAAAACTGTAACAAGGTTAGAAAAGTTCTAGCTTTAAGAGGCTATTTACTCAAGATACAGTGCAATGGACCAATAAAAGTGAAACTGAACTGTCTCAACAAGTAGCAATCAACTGTGATGATCCGTAATGATTCGTTAAAAGTTTTTGCAAATGAAGGACTTTTTCCTTTACGGTATTTGTGAATTTAAGTGTTTACACGAAGCAATTACCGAAAAAGGATTTTGACTTTTCACTGAAAAAATGAAGATATCGTAATACCTGCGTAATAATCGATTGTTATTGCAAGTTGTAATAGTTCTTAAAGAGCCATATACATAATTCATATTAAATTGAAAGGTTAAGATCAATTTTCGGTGTAAATGTTTTTATTTTTTTATGGTTTTATATAATGTTAAAAACTTTAGAGTCAAGGTTAGCATTAGTATTGGTAATTGCAAGTTAAATGGAAAAATACACCATTTATAGCAAAAACAAATTATTGTTATCCCATTATATTTAATGTCATTTATTGCCGAGTGTAACAGGGCATTCACGAATTTAAATTTTTTTTATAATTAAAAAAAGTGATATTGTAAACATATATTTTTCACTTATAATTTTGATTACCTTCTCCTAAATCTATTAAATCTGAGAATCCAATAATGATCCAAATTAAGGTGTTATATGGTTTTGTCATATTGCTATAGGACGTGAAGATATCGTAACACCTGCTTAATAATCGATTGTTATTTTAAATTATAATAACTCTTAAAGAGCATTATACCTAATTCATATTAACTTGTATGGTTAAGACCTATTTTCGGTGTAATTTGTTTTATTTTTTACTGTTTTACATAATGTTTAAAACTTTTAGAATCAGGTTGAGCATTAATATTGATAATTACTAGCTGAACGAAATCATACACCATTCATAATAGAAAAAAATAACTGTTATCCTATTATATTTAAGGTTATTTATTCACGCCTGTAATAGGACAATAAGGAATTTATTGTTTTTTTTTCATACTTAAAAAAATGATTAATATAGAAAAAGTATGTTTTTTCATATATAATTTTGATTCCCTAAACTAAATTGTTAAATACTAAAAAAAAATAAATAACATTACAGTGTTAAATATGAATTGATATATGAAGTTAAATATGAATTGATATATGAAGTTAAATATGATTTGATTTTTTAAAATCATTTTTATGATATATTACGCAAAAACAACAAGAGTAATTCAAATTCAAATGCGATTTGGTACTACAAAAAAGTGCCAAAAAAGATGTTAATACACAAAAGAACGTTTGTGTAATATGGATCGATTTCTATTGACAAATCTTTGCGTACTTTACTTTAGGGTTGAAAGAGTATCAATCTGAAAAAGAAATGCCTAAATGACATTCTTCAATAAAGAAATATATTTCAAAATTTTACGCTGAAATTTTTAGAGTTCGAATGGGAATCTGGAATTGAAGTGCCTAAATTAACTCTTTTTATCAAAGAAAACATATTTTAGCATTGTACACTCAAATGTTTTATTTTTAAAGTTTTACACGTGGCTAGTTCTATACACTAATTTTAAACCTCTGCATAACACACACAAACACCAAACGACTTTGAAAACACAATATAGTGCTCGTAAAAAGTTCTTATTTATAAGAAATAAAATCATAAATCCCCTTTTAATCACGGCTTACATTTTTGGCAAAGCACTGGGTTCAACGTCGGAACAAGTTTCTTCGTTCTTCAATCACGTAAAGTACTTCTCAAAACGAAAATTTTAAATTATTACTGTCGCGGTCAATTATTCTTCACCGCATTGTGCACCTGCGTTCAATTTTTGGTTTAACATCTGTCACCTCCTGTTACGCAAGAAGGCAGCACGCGATTGACTTTGATCACTTATTGCATACAAGTTGATCGCATTTATCTTTGATGAACATTAATTATTATGGAAACAGTCTCTTACCTTACAACCTTCGCACGTGAAAGCGCCAAAATGATACCCCGCGGCTGGTTCACCGCAAACTTTACACAACTGGTTCATCTGAAATGACAAAAGAAAACTGTACTTTAGTAACATAGCGACAAAAATCAGCAATCTAAAAGAAAAATAGATGAATACTACCCATGGACAAAGAGACCAAAGACTATCATAAATGCCTCACGCAGAATTTAAATTTAGTTCTATGCAAACATCATGCAGTAAGTTTCAATGAAATGGGAATTTTAGTAATATAGCAAGGGGAATCTAAAATATTAAAGGAAAAATAAATTAATGCTATCCATGGACAAAGAGACCAAAGACTATCATGAATGCCTCGCGTAGAATTTGAATTTAGTTTTATGCAAGCATTGTGCAATCAGTTTCAATGAAATGGTAATTTTAGTAATATAACAAGAGAAATCTACAATCTTAAAGAAAAAATAAATGAATGCTACCTATGGAAAAAGAGACCAAAGACTATCATGGATGCCTCAAGTAGAATTTAAATTTAGTTCCATGCAAAACTTACGTAAACAGTTTCAATGAAATCGGAACTTTAGTAATATAGCAAGGAAAATCTACAATCTTAAAGAAAGAATAAATGAATGCTACCCATAGACAAAGGGGCGAAAGACTATCATGAATGCCTCACGTAGAATGTAAATTTAGCTTAGTACAAACTTTACGCAATCAGTTTCTATGAAATGGGAAATTTTTTAATTCCCCATAACTAAAATGAAACAACGAAACATAACTAACTCTATCATAACTAAATAAAATAACAAAATGAAACAAATGCAGACGAATACACGAAAAAGTAAATAAAATTTGGAAAATGAGGTAAAATTTGATTATTTTATCATACCTTAGAGTAGGGCATGAAAACCATCTATCTGGTTAAATTTACTTTTCAGTTTTTTATTTGTTACTTAATGTGTGATAATAAGAACCATAATTTTGAAAACTAGAACTTCCGGAACCCAATACCATATGAACTGAAAATTACCTAACGAATATTTTAATTATCATATATTTTGGTTTTTGATATCAAAATTATGTTTGTTTGGTAATGCCGTAACCATACGGTACAGTAATTTTACCAGAATTTGTTTTCTCCATGTAATTGTAAAGGGCAGGATTTACTTAGGGAAATTCATGTATGTAAATATAACAAGACTAATATAGAAACTTAAGTTAAGTAAACCCAAAAAAGTAAATCTAAGATAAACGAATGCCATATGTAAACATAAAGCTCAGGTTCACGCATACATCACAAAGAAATGTGGTACTAAACTGAGTTACTTATGCTGTTACTTTTACTGTTATTATGTTACTTTTATTTCAATTAAAATATATTGATAAAATTAATATATCTCTTTGATTCATAAACCATGCGAATTTCATTTTTTTAACCCTTATTTTCAAATAAATAACAAAGCAATAACAAAAAATAAAACAAAAATAAATTTGAAACTTAATCTAAACTCGAATGTGCAACCCTTTTTTATAAAAGTGCTTTTTTTTCTTATTTCTACTAAATGAAAGACAAAAAGTAGAAGGAAGATTTATTATAAAATAAAAGTAAAGATTTAATGCAGAACGTTTGTATTAGTAAACTTGCTAAATATATCTCAAAGATATATGCAATTCAAGCGGCACTGTGAATCTGCGGATCACAACTTTTATAGTAATTGTTAAAGTTCGTGATTGTGTTTGAAACAATCAGAGATAATTCAAGTCTATGTTTTTTAAATTAATAGGACTAATAAAACTGCAATTAATATTGAAAATTACTAGTAATAAATATCAATTTGTGTTCGACATTAATTACTCTTGATTGGTGTTCAACACTAATGGCTGTGCATGGTGCTCAATATTAATTACTCTGATCCATTGTGTGGGAAAATGATAAAAAATAAAAATGATGCTATTACTTATTTGTTTACAAACTTGTGTATATTAGCGTAAATATATTTCCGTTAAAAAGGATTTGTTAAAAATAACGATATTCTTAAAGACATTGTTAAAATAACAAACTTAAAACAAATATCATGACCACGGTCCAAATATTTCTTATAAATGTTTTTGAAATAAAATTTGCGCATAATATTTATAAGCCTCATGATAAAATACGCTATATTGCATTGCATTGCGTTTTTTTTTTTTTTTTAAAAATTTTGAGGAAAATAATAATTTTTTCACATCATTATTTGAAAGGTGTTTTAAGTGATTAAGTAGGATCAGATTTTGAACTAATAATAATTTTGGAAAGTTAATAACAGCATTATGAAACAAATTTTGGACTTTTCAACCAAACATCACATTTTCTAATCAAACACGATAGTTTTCTTAAAACTGTTAATTCTAATGCATATTTTTTTTAATTATTTTAAATTAATTAATTATTCAGTTAATTAAAAAACGATATTAAAATTATTAGAACGCATATAAAATTATTTTTAAAATATAACCTGGATTTCGATATAAATATCCCTAATACTATTTTCAGTTGAAATTAAAAAGTGTTTTTCTCCAAATTATATTTAAAAGAAATTCTGAATGAACCAAGCTAATATTAAGAAATATTTAAATCCTATTTAAGTTTTAAAAATCTTTGTTTTTTCAAAGAATGAGACTAGTACGCATATTGTAAATGTCTCTAAAAACTATTTTATTACTTAAATGAACTTAAAATATAGACCAAAATTTACTAACAAATTATCAACTATACGCAAAAATAAATAATGCGTTTAGAAAAAAATTTACTAAAAATAGAGATTACGGAATCTTTTATTATTTATGATAATAAAATTTACGATTTTCCTTAATTTTTTCTCATGTAAATTCTAAAAGCAATAAATAAATTGGAATTATAACATATATTAATTAGGATTTAATGTTGTGTTGTTAAGACAGCAAAGTTAAGAAAAAAAATTTGCTAATTATAAAATCAAACCAAAATATTTCTATTTAAATAATTTGAAAACTAGAATAATAATTGCATTATGCAAAGATTTCAACATTTCTATTTTAAAAATTCTAAAGAAGACTCACAAATTAATTCTAATTAAGACTCACAAATAAAAATCTGAAAATAAATTAAAATTTTGTTTCTTCTACCCAAAACTATAATTTCTATTTTAATAATTATTAATTACATATTAATATTCATTTGTTGCTTATAATTATACATTTGAATATGTTTGTATATAACTGTATTTTACATAGATGTCTGAAATATACTATAAAAATTTTGAATGCCTTACGACAAAATGTCTGTCTCTATACGTATTTGGCAGTTTTTGAGGGTAGTCATGCAAAAAATCTGGTTTTCGACAGAAAAAATAACGCGTTTAACATTATATTTCTTTCATAAATGGCACACAGGAGTTAATATTAAATGTATATCGATTTTTCTACGTAAAACTACCAACCCTAAATGTACAAAAAAAATATATATATACATTCTACTGAAATTTAGAATGAAAACAAAATATCAAAACCTAAAAAATCAATTTATTTTGACTAAATCTGAAGCTCTTAAATTAAATAGAATTTCATTTCAATTCGAATAATCAAACGAACGAATAATCTAACCTTATTCTAGACAAAATCCACACGGAGAAAAAAAAAATTTATTGAAATTACCATATTGTATGATAATGACGCTTCTTATTTAAAAAAAATATAACTCTGGTTAATAAAACCAAAATATACGGTATTTAAGCCATGCATTAAGCAATTTTTCCCATTCATATGATAGCAGTTTACCGGATATTCTAGTTTTCAAAATTATAGCTCTTTTAATTGCACAACTAGTAAAAAAACACTAACAGCCTAAATTTAAATTTAATCGAATAAATGGTTTGTATGCTAAGGCATCATGATAAAATTATCACGAACAAATTTGTGTATCATGATTGCTAAGATATAATGATAATATTATCCTGATCAAATTTGACCACATTTACCAAATTTTATGATAGACTATGAAACCATATTTTATTGCTAATTTTTCCTAAATCATTACCAAAGCGCTTTGGCAAAAATTATCAAACTTTTCGGTGTTCTCATAGAGCCAGAAACAGTAAATTTTAACATATTCTGATAGCTTTGATCATATTTTTTTCTGTGTAAAGATATGACCAAATAATTTAGTCTATTTTAAACGAATTTGAACGATAATAGTAATGAAGTTTTAAATGCATATACAATCTCTGTCATAACAATCTCAAAAATACTTTCTCGAATGAGGAAATAACAAAACAAGTTATATTAAAACCATTTATTCGACAAAACTGTTTGTTTATGCCGCACAACGGAATGTCGATTTGATGTCTTTTGTTTTTATTATCGTATGAACTTCACCTTGGAAAATATTTTAAAAAACTAATAACTAACCAAGTTGAGTAGATCTGTTAGCATCTTAATTTGAATAATCAGTGTCAAGGATTGTTGTGTCCGCGGTAAACCTGTACAAGATTTTTAATGTAAACAAACAGCATTTGTTTATATATCAAACCCCCGCGCGAATAATAATTATTAATTTTCATCACATCTTTCCTCTTTTAAATGCATTACGGTAAGAATAAAATAAACTGTTTTTTTTGAAGAAAATAATTGTTAAATGGTCTTGAAATCCTATTATTCATCGCAATTTAACAATTAGTTTTCGTAGTAAATATGCTATAAATTTATATTCCATTCAATAAAAAGAGTATTAATCATAATTTTACGTAATGTTCTAATGTAAATGTATTTAAATATTTTTTTCTTCCCAGATAGTTAATGTTATCAATTACACAATTGGATAAAATTTAAATAGCAAATTGAATAATTGAACTAGTTTGGTTATTCTATAATATTTATAATTCATTTAAACTCGTTAATAATAAATTAGATTTTATCTTATCATATGTTTGACGTAAAACTATTGTTTGAAAAAACGTTTGTTAGTTGAAATACTGCCTTTTATGATCTTTGCTATTTATATTTTAAGCAAATAAGAGTATTAATCTGGTTTAAAAAAGCTACTTTTAAAGTATCGAAACATTTTCTTG